ATGGGAAAGTTCTCCCATGGGGTTCCCTTTTGTAGTCACACTCACCTCCTACCCCCACCAACCCTAACCCCTGCCATGAAAATTTTCTCCATCTCTATATTTTGTAATTGTAAGAATATTATACAAATGAAATCACATGGGAAATTATGCTGTGACTTTTTTTATATTGGAATTTTTTCACTTGGCATAATATCCTTGAGACTTATTTGGGTTGTTCCATTTCTTTTTATTTGTGTGCACTCCTTTGTATTGCAGAGGAATATTCCATGGTATTGGTTTGTTTAACCATTTACCTATTTTAGAACATTTTTAGTTTGTGTTAGATAAATGCCCAAAATGGGAATTGTTGGGTCACATGTTAAGTATGTGTTTAGTGTTTTTAACATTCAAACTAGTTTCCAACATGGCTGCACCATTTTACATTCCCACCAGCAATGTATGAGAGATACAATTTCTCTGCATCCTCATCAGCATTTGGTATTGTCACTATTTTTTTATTTTAGTTGTTCTAATGGGTGGGTAGGGATATCTCATTGTAGTCTAATGGCTAGTGATGTTGAACATCTTTTATGCCCTTATTTGCTCTCCATATATCTGTTGTTTGCCCATATTTTAATTGGATTTGTTTGTTCTTTGTTTTTTACTTCTGTGTTTTGAGAGTTCTTTATATAGTCTAGATATGATTCCTTTAACAAACATGGCTTGCACATATTTTTTTCAAAATCTGTAGTTTATCTTTTTATCATCTTAAGAGATAAGAGATTTGAACTTGATGAAGCCCAGTTTATCTTTTTTCTTCTTTTATGAGTTATGTTTTTCATATTTGAGAACTCTAGTGAAACAAAAGGTCCTGAAGTTTTTCTTCTATGTTTTCTTTTCTTCTAAACATATTATAGGGTTTTTAAAAAAGATTTTATTTATTTATTTGAGAGAGAGAGAGTGAGAGAACATCAGTGGGGGGGGGTGGGTGAGGGAGAGGGAAGGGCAGGAACCCGAGGTCCAGCACGGGCCGGGTCGCGTGAGGGGGCGCTGTCTGCACTTCCGGCAGGTGGCGGGAGAAAAGACCAGCTCGAAGTGAGTGGAGAGGGCAGGGGTGGGAAGCGGGCTGGTCCGGGACCCTGGCTAAGCCCCCTCCCTCCAAGCCCGGAGGAGGAGGGCCGCCCTCCAGCCTCCCGCTCTGGCGGAGCTAGGCCGCAGCGCTGGCTCCTGCCCGGAATTCCCTCGGCCGCTCCACAACCACGGCCCTGCCTGCCCGAAGGAGGCCCGGCTCCGCCGCCTCTCTCTGTCCTCCTCCGGCAGGCATACTTACCGCATCCTCCCAGTTCTGCCTGTTGTAGGTGTTGGAACCCAGAGAGGTCGCCATCTTGAGAGCGTCTGGAGGCACCGGTGGCTTCCGAGTTGGGAAAGAGGACCGCCACAATCCCGTCAGACCCCGAGGCTGGCTCCCGGCCCGTTGACGTCTTATTTATGCGTCGTGGGCGCCCTTGGGGGCGGTCCTTGTGCGTCGTGACGTCACCTGGAATTTCTTCGCTTGACAATTGGGAGTGCTAGTGGGTTGAAACCTGGTTCTCTCTTCGAGTTGGTCCCTGTTTGGGAAGAAAAGCCACAAGTACAGTTGATTTATTTTAAAATGGAGCAAAAAAATAAAGGAACAAGTAAGGAATGAGGGACTGGGATTAAAACAGCGTTTGCCCCCATGGAGCGCTTATTATGCCTAATGGTGAGCGAACGTCTTGCTGTGCCAGTATCTTAATTCTCACAATTTCTCTGTAAGGTTGCCAGCTTTAGCAAACAAAAACGCAGAACGTCTAGTTAAAGTTGAAGTTCAGATAAACAACAAACCATATTTTAGTATAAATATGTCCCAAACATATTTATACTAAAAAGTGACTCGTTTATCTGAAAGTCGAATTTGGCTGGATGTCCTATATTTTATCTGGTAACCACTACCCTCTAGGCAAGTATGATTTTCCCTTTTTTTTAATAGAAAAGGAAACAAGTTTAGAGAAATTAAGTAACTTCTTGTCGTGTAGCTAAAAATGAAGTCACAAATCCATATTGTTACATGTATCAGTAATTTGTTCCTTTCTATTACTGAGAATTCTAATGTACCAGGGGGATTTAAAAAATCCATATTCCCAGTTGATAGACATTTGAGTTGTTCCAGATTTCGTGACTATAAATAAAGCCATTATAACATTCACATACATGTTGTATGGACATACGTTTTCATTTTAAATACAAGAGTGGGATTACTTGATCAAATGGTAAGTATTTATTTTCCTGGATGAGAAAGTTATTGGATTTATCTGAGCTTCTTCAATCTATGGTTTGTTACGTTTTTGAAAAAGATTTTATTTTTTCTTAGTGGCGGGGAGGGGTAGAGGGAGAGAGAATCTTAAGCAAGCTCCATGCCCAGCGCAGAGCTGGACGCAGGGCTCGATCTTACAGCCCTGCGATCAAGACCTGAGTTGAAGTCAAGAGTCAGACGCTTAACCAACTGAGCCACCCAGGCACCACTTTTTTATTTTTTAAGTAAACTTTATGCCCAGCCTGGGGCTCGAAACTGGAACCCCAAGATCGAGTCACATGCTCTACTGACTGAACCAGCCAGGTGCCCCTATGGTCTGTTATCTTTTGCAAATTCTTTTTTTTTTTT